GAATGTCATGTAACCGGTGGGTTGCACAACTAGTGCATAAGTTTAGGTGTTTTTGTGTGTGCATTAATTTGTGTTTGAGTTTTGGACGGGTTGACGGGAAAGGATCCGCCATCATCTGTCATTCTCACACGCAATCAAGTACTTCACCTTTACCAGAGAGACAAAAATCCAGATACAATAATCCCACCTTGCAGTTATTAGAACCTGCAATTCCAAATAATTCAGTATATTGCTTTTAAATTAGAATCTTAAATATGAAGTAAAAAGTACGTTCTCCCTTTGAGATATTTTCCTGTTAACAGCTGTGTAAAATAAAGTACAGCCTTATTTTGTCAGCCTGTTTGCTGCAGAAATATTTTATCTGAATCAAAATAATTTAATTCTTTGTGTAATAAAAAGTCAGCATTTTGAATTCTAAGACAAAGTTCATGCAAAGAATAAATAAAATCAATGTAGTCACTTATTTGCAGATATATTGATTATTTTGTGTTTAATATTTTGTATGAGTTGATTTGAATATCTTGTATTGTGTAAAGTACTAATGAACCATTTGGATTTAAATATTTATAATATTAATGAGCCAATTATGCATTTAGAAGTATGTTGGTATTTTTAAAAGAAGATGAATTAAAAATTTATTTTGTGTCTAGTAAGGTCTACGGCTAGATTTGGAAAGGTAATCAGCCTAATTCTTATTGTGAACTAAAGCCTTTATTCGTGTTATTATTATTAGTGTATTTTTCTAATACTTTCTAATTAACTACTACTTTGGATCCTCTACTTTACATACAGGTTAAGAATAAGAGAAGTGGTTATAATGGTGGAAGAGATTGGGCCTCCTGGGTAAAGCTCCAAGAGCCTGCATACAACATTTCTCTCAGCACAGATGTTTGTTTCTTTTCGTATCCCCTCCTCTCAGATTTACACTTGTTGTTACCTGTAGTAAATGCTAAACACGTGCACGCATATGGTATTGGTTTTATCTTAGATTTAATCAGCTTCCCGGAAGAAAAAAAAAAAAAAAGCTTGTGAGACGTTTTCAGAACATCTGAAGGTCGACAGTTGAAGGTTTTTGGCTGCCTGGATGTTACTGCATGGTCAAATATCATCTCTGCAAATTACACATCTTCAGCGGTTTCAGTAAAAGCGTTTCTCGCAACAAACGTTTTTCGGTCGCGTCCTTTCAGCAACGGGCGGTATCAGTCACAGGAGGCCAGCACATCCGGCGCCATGCTCGTGCATGCATACCACATGTTGTCAGAATGAAAGGTTAAAATTTTAAATCCTGTTGCCAGTGCATTCAAAAACAATCAACTGTCATTTTACTGTGCTTCATAACTGAAAGCACAGTCACAGTCACTTTAGTACTTTCTCTCTTCTTCCTCTGTCTCATCCACAACAGAAGTGGTATTAGTGTCGTGTCTGATGTGGTCTGTCTCACCTCGTAACAATTTTTTTTTTCTCTACACAATCGTTTCCTCAGGTTTAGTCTTTTTTATCTTTTTTAATCAAACCATCTCCTGACTTATGTCTTTCTTTATGCTTGTACCCCCCCCCCCCCCCCCCCCCCCCCCCCAAAAAAAAAACTCACATATCTTTACTGATCTCATCTCTCCTTGTCGGTTCATTTTTACTTTCTTGGCTTTGTTCTTCTGGTCCGCTCTACTTTTCTGTTTTACAGTTAATTTCTTCCCTTTTTTACCTCCACATTTTCAGCCTTGTCTTCATATTTGTCGCATTCTGCTCTGTCTTTATGGTGTTAAAGAGCAATATAATGCAAAAGCAGTCCTAATAGGTTGCACACCAAACAGTTTCAGTTAGAAATACTAGAAATAACATGCATGGATGGCTTTTTATGGGGAAATGTATACATAAAAAAACAGCTTAAAGTCATATTTAAATTTCAAATAATTCATCAAATCATAAAAAGAATCCTGTCTTAAAATCTGTGGTGTTTTTTTTGTTATCTTCTACAGGCCAGTTAGTTATATGTAGGCTTGTACACCTAAATTGGGCCAATCATAAATCAACGGTCATAGCATCTTGATCCATATGTCGCAGCTAATATACACAATGCTTGAAATAAGAAATAAGAATAATTTACTTTCCCATTGAGTTCCGTCCCAGTGTTCACGGGGATGGACGTCTGTGTCTTCAGCAGGCGTAGAGCTAACAGAACGTGCAGCGATGCGAGGCAAGGGCTCAAACATGTATGGCTGTAAGCCTTCTACACCTAACCAAGCTTCTGCCGCCCTGGCGTCCTCTTCCACAACGTCTTCGTCCCCGCTTTCCTCCTCTAAATAAAAAAGGAAGACGGAGAAGACTCATCCACGACCTCAGACACAAAACTCTCCCCCTCCTGCATGTTTCCGCTGTCCATAGCGTTCCTTGATAGTGTCGTTTCTAAGTGTTACTTGGTCCCAATGTAATTTCCCATTGGAAACCTACTAGCACTAATTTGCTAACTGGTTAGCCAGATGCTTCTGAGATATCAGCCACAACCAAACTGCTTGCGAACCTTCCGCCACAACAATCCCACCCCCTTGATAAACGACAGATCACATTCACTTTATTCACTGGTGTAAAGGCGTTCACCACTCAGGAGAATCTGGAACTGCAACCATTGGAACAGCTGCTTCCATACGACTTGAATAAATACTCAGAACATAATAATTTTATGCAAGAGGTCTTGCATAGGTCCGACTGAGACAGAGCCCAGGTATATTTTAGTCGGACCTACGCAGCAATTCATTTGCAATTTCGTGGGACTGACAGGATGACAGACGAGGTTACAAAGTAAAACACATCCGCTTTGGGGGAAAATACAAAATAAAGTCTTTTAAGCGCACAGGAAAACAGTCATTTTGGGGGTTTACATAGAGTATTTCACTTTGAGACACTGTCAGACTATTTACCACTTTGTTTTAATGAGCACTAAATGGGATGTAGTTGTTTTTATTCTCATTCAATAATCCATATGGAAGAGACTTTGTTCTGTTAGCAATGCTCTTAGACTCAGAGGAACTAATTGCCCGCATGCCTTTCTCTATCATGTTAGAAGGATGTGGCGATAGAAAATTAGGAAATTGCACAAAACATTTTTGAGCACAGGAGAGAAGTTAAGCTGCTGTGCAATGAATGATGCTAAACGGACGCTACTTTGGTGATAAATTATGGAGTTTATCAAGTATGTTTATTCAAAGAACAGAATAAAGTTAATTCTGCATTCTTGTCTCTATTTAACAGTTTAAATAATACTGGACCCGGCTCTGGATCGATTCATGTTTTTGCTCAAGCATGCTTCCACAAGTAGAGTAAAAAGAAAGGAAAAGAAAAGACAGCAGCTGGTCTACAGAACAATGGAAAAACTAAGCAGGATTGTAAAAAGAAAAGTTAGTCATTAACATCTGTGGTCATTAACATCTGTAAGTCGCATATTGAGTGGATTAGAGTCTGACAAAAATGTGATTATGACAGAAGAGTTGGGAGACCCGACTTTTTTTTGGTGGGTTTTCATACAGGATCAAGAATATACATAAAAGATCAAATATAAACATGCATGTTCTGATAGTATTTTATTAGATGAACCTTAGCAAAGTGTACCTCAGACAAATGTTTGGAATAATTCCTGTTTGCTATATAGTTTTTATCTGAATAATCTGAGAGATTTGTTAAAGCTTTTCTATCTAAGTAAGCCCAACGGATTGCAATGAGTCATTGAGTTTGCAGGATTCGCTTTTCATGGATGTGCATTTAGCAGTGGTAGACATGGCGATACAACAGAAGAAGGGCAGTTGTTATTTTTTTTATGTAAAGTCAGCCAAAATCAGCATATCTGGGTTATGATATTCCATAGCAGCTGATAAGCTTGCTCAGGGGACCAAGGACGCATCCTTGAGGAACTTTATACTGTCCGCCTGAAGAGGTTGAATATGAACCAGTTAAAAAATATATGACCAAATCCAGTGATGTGGTGGAGCTAGTGCATGCTGTGGTCAGTGATGTCTGAAGTTGCAGATGGATCAGTCACCCATGATGCTGTTTATCAATATTCTGTTTATGTTTTGGTCAAACAAGTATTTGCTTTTATTCTGCTAAGTGGTATCTTCCGGATGGAGTCACTCTACAACGCCTAACAGGCTTTGGTCAGTTGGACCTTCAGAACCACTTTTGTAAAAGATTTAGATTCAGAAAGCTTAGAAACAACCTTAACTGGTTCGTTCAACTTTGACTTTCTGTGGGTTAGAGAAAAATCTATACTGAAGAAAATTTTTTAGAATTCCTTAATAATACACTGGAAAAAGAATCTAGAAATAAGTAAAAATTTCTTAAATTAAGTGTAACGCTTAATTTGAGTAGGAAAATGAGATAGTTTGCCAATGGAATGAGTATTTCCACTCCCATAATAAGATAATTAGATAATATGCAGTTGAAATAAGACAAACCAATTGTGTTTTCTAATTTTAAGAGTAAATTGTCTTGTTCAATTGGCAAAATGTTTCTTTTACCTCCTCAATCCAAGAACAAATGCACTTATTTTAAGAAAAAAAAATACTTATCTAGATTTCATTTTTTTCCAGCGATTTTGTTATTCCGCAATAGTGACAGTTCAAATATAACCTTAAAGAACACTGCAAAAAGGGTCTAGCATTAAGTAAAAATGTCTTAAATCAAGCATGTTTACCCTTCATTTTAGTAGGTAAATGGGATGATTTGCCAATGGAATGAGTATTTTTACTCTTAAAATACGATTATTAGATAATATCCACTTGAAATAAGACAATGCGGTTGCTTTTTCTTGTTTTAAATGTAAATTGTCTTGTTCCATTGGCAAAGTGTCTCACTTACCTCCTCAATTCAAGAACAAATGCACTTAGTTTAAGAAAAAATGACTAATTTAGATTTCCATTTTTTGCAGTGAAGCAGATCTCATGTAGGTATGATGTGGAATTCATCATTCATTCGTTTGTGAAGCTAATAGCTGTTCTGTCTCTGTTCAGGTGAGGTGAAGCGTTACCAGGTCCTGATCCACGGCATCGAACCTCTGCTGGAGACTCCTCTACAGTGGCTCAGCGAACACCTGAGCCATCCTGACAGCTTCCTGCACATCTGCGTCGTCCCTGTGCCCACAGACTGAGGCCCCACCTCTACACCCTATCGTGCCAATGACTCATCGACCAATCACCTGCCAGCGGGGTAACCTCATGGTTACATGGTAGCACTTCTCTCTGGAGACTTGGGACTAACAGACAATAATGGAGGACGATCTGAATATTTGATATAAATATGACATGACAGGAAATGCGACGATTGACAAATGTCCCACGTTTGTTGACATCTCCATCAGGTCATCACTCCTCCTTTCTCCTCAGAAACTCTGAACGCAAACGACGAAGAGAACTTTTCTTCAGCGTTTCTGTTCGGTTCCATATATTCTCCAAATAACCAAATATATACACCGGGGGCAAACCTATTTTTTAAATCTCCCTCCTCCTTCTCGTTATCAGGCTGTCTTGGAAACAGGGAAGCTGTATTTTTGCTCGTTTTTTTGTGGAGGACGATGTGGCGTCAGGTTCTGCTGAAGTTGCCTTAGATGTCACACTCTTGCATCATGACTGACATGATGCTGATCAGTTTACATCACAGCCTAGAGAAATGCTCACCTTTAAAGAATAATATATCAAAACTGTTCTGTTGCACCAATTTAAATTAAGCGCTTGAGCGATGAACGGCCCTGGAGGTTTTGCAGAATTCCCAGGAATTGGGTTGGAATAAACTCTTCTTAGGTCTGCTGAGTTCAAACTCTAATTCTGAGCTATCTGAAAGAACAATTTAGAACGTCTAAATTTCTATAGAGCACTATTCTTTTCCTGTTAATGAAATGTTAGTTTAACTTAAATAAACAATTTGTTTCATTCTTCCTTATATTCTATTAAAACATGAGTTTAGAAACCTGTGATTATTAAACTAACGGTTAAACGAAATCTTGTTTTCTGTACTATAACATATTTTACTGATTCTGCAGAGATAGAATCAGATCCAGTTTTTCCACATGGGGTCTTCATTTTTTTTATGAGGCTAAATTATTATATTTGGAGGTCGCTGGGAAAATGGTCCACACATCTTAAACTGCAGGTGTTGATTTCTGTGCCTCAGTACAGCGTTCAGCTTGGTTTAATAGTCTGTTTTGTAAGACTTGGCCCAAGCTTCTTTATCCACAGCCTTGCATGAACGGACATCTGGTTTTGTTTGTCTTGATGAGACTGTTAGCTTTAAGTGTGCAAACTTTCTGGGATCATTTAAAGCATATTTAAGCTTGCAGACAAATAAAACTGGCAATATTAAAAGAGATGATAAACCAGTTTTAAACCATTAGCTTGATTGAGTTTTCCCTCCAAGCGCTGGCTGCCCATAGATATTTTTAGTTTTTAGAATTAACGTTATTGTCTCTGTTAAGAAAAACAGGTAAACAATCTTTTTTTTAAGCCCATATATCTAGTCTAAATGTGGTGTATAAACAGCGGCACTAATGATCAGGATCGGTTTGTTGAACAGCTTTTCAGCCCCATCAACAGAGTCGTACATATTAATGCCTTTTCACCTTGTAATTTAGCTTTGACATTTGCACAATGTTCTGCCCCCAATCTTATCTAGTTAGATAATAAAAAAAAAAGGAAAACAATTTAGACATTTTTTGCAGCTGTCTTTCAAGCATATAGTAATACAGTGCTGCCCCTCCCCTACCTGTTTATTCATACTACCACTTGACTGGATAAAAGGACACTACACGTTTCCCTTCTTTGCACGTTAGACACTTTAAGGTCCGAACACACCAAATCGTGTCTGAAGAGATTGTGACACTTTGCACTCATTGAAGGTCAATAGGAATGATCACACCCGACACTATTATAATCAAGGGGGTTGCGTAGGTCAGACTGAGATAGACCCAGGTCTATTTTAGTCAGACTACCCAATAATTCAGCAGAAGTTTCATGGGTCTGACAGGAAGAGAGATGCAGTTATAAAGTAAAACACATCCGCTTTGGGGGAAAATACGAAATAAAATCCTTTATTTGCACGGCGAAACAGTCAGTTTTGGAGTCACACATTACGTATAGTGGGACAGACTCCTGCAAAAAGAAATCAATGAAACATTAGAAAAATATACCAAACCTATGATAGTTCAGGGGGACAGAAGACGGATAAATTAGTGATCCTCTCGGAGAAACAACGAGGGACAGAAAGCACAGTTTATCTCTCCTCGAAAAACAAAAAAAAAAACCTCCATGAAAGAAATCTGATATAGTAAAATATGATTCTCTTTGAGCCTCACAAAAAACAAAAAAACGAGGGGCAGACATCAGGTAAGCGCGGCTTATGTCTCTCATCTCTATGAAAAAAAGAAATAAAAACTTCACAGATCTCTCTCTGAGAATCACCTCTATGCCTGAGTCATCATATAAACCACATTATTGCTGCATTTTCCTTTCTTTTAGTCGTAGATCTCATGTTTTTACTATAGACATATGAACATTATCTGTTCTGGTGAGAATAGATGCACAGAATCGTTAAATAGGGCCTTGCTTTATAGCTGTGGTGGTGGGTTTTTTAATTTTTATTTTATTTCTAATAACTTTTCATAATCTGTCCAAGTCTAATTTAATTTGTGTATAACACAGAGACAGAAGTGAAAAACATTTGCACAGATCTGCCCACCCTGCCTAGTCAGAGCCTCCATATACACAGTCAGAGTTACATGGAAAACATTTGGATCGGAGATAAAAAAATTAGTACGCAACTGGTGTGTTCAAGCCTTTAAGCCTGGCATACACGGTAGGGTATTATTAATCGTTGTACTCAAAGTGTACAACGAAACCGCAGGGTGTAAAAGTGCACAGCTCACGACGTTTGTTCTTACAGTGTACGGCCCGATGCTCTGCTGCAATCTAATTGGTCACACTGCATGTCCAAAAACCAGGGGCGGAGCTAGATGTGGGGCCAGTGGTGGCCATGGCCACCCTTTGCCCATCATTGGCCACCCCTACCATTTTTTTTCCCTCTAATGCAGATGGTGGCAGCAATAATACTCTCAAGTGCAATATTCAAAACATTAACATTTTTTGTGTTAATTATTGACATCAATATATTAACATCAAAGATGATAAGTTCATAATTCTTGCTCTTTTCAGAACTAGATTTCGTGTTATATGGGGTAAAGAGAAAATTGTGTGTCTCTGCAAGTCATCTACAAGACTTCAGTGAAATCATAGATAAAAATTCTAATAAAAACTTATCAAATAATCAATTTATGTAGATATCAGTACTTGTAAATATCAATTTTATGCAGAATGTTTATTGATACAAGTAGGTAAGTAATGACAATGGAAAAGATTTATGCCCCAGAACTCAAAACTGAAAGACTTTTATCCACTTTACCTTTTATCTAGAAATTCAGGTTGTTTAAATAGATGCGTCTATTTGTTAGAAAAGGCTGTAGGAAAGTGTAGTTTGTCTTTATTTAGAAAATATGGATGTTTTGCTCGTTAATTTTCCTGTTGGAACAGTGTAGATTAACCCTGAGGTTCTGGTATATCCGCTTTCGGCCACCCCTCAGTGTACATTGGTTATTGCCTGGTTACGCCTCTGCCAAAAACCACACGTCAGGCTCAGCGCTAAGAGATGTCGCTGGTTGGACTCCTCAATCTTGAAGAAGAAGTAGAACTCCCATATTTGCACATGCACAGTGCTCGAGGTTCTGGTAAATCGGCTCATAGACGCTCGTAGCTCTGCTTCAACAGCAGGAATACCTCACAAGGGCCGACTGAATTTGAAACCTGATTTTTCTCCCGACCTTACAATTCCTAATTGGGAGGTGGTTGCGAGAGGCTAATCTACCCCTGAATACTACACGGCGCAGGACGCTGAAACTCAGCCTGATTAAAAACGATTGCATGACTGGAGAATCGGCCGAAAAAGGGCAAAAAAAAACATTGTAGTGCATGCTCACCTTTAGGCTGTCTGAAAATACTAGCAATTCAAAGAATATATCTACACCTATGATGTGGACACTAAAGGCTGTTGTTTCAACCATAGAGTTACCAAAACTATTAAACACAGCAAACTGTTTAAAAGTACTTTATAACACAGGACTTTAGTCTGTATTTTATCTTAGGTCTACACATCCAAGCCACATGAACAATAAACAGCATCATAGCGTCATTAAATCTGTTAGATTTAATTTAATTTAGTCATTGTTGATTGCAGCAAGTCAGGGCAGGTTTATTAGTTAAATTCATCTGCAAAAAATAAAGAACATGAGTTAAAACTATATGACAGACAAGATATACACTAGATAAAATTGATTTATTAAATCTAAAAATCACATAAACAAATGAGCTGACTGAAAAACCAAAAAATAGCTAAGAAATTAGTAAAAAAAAAGTTAAGAAATCTTGTACAATTATCAAAAATCTGCAGCTAAAAATGATTTTAATCCATAAAACAAAGTAAAATTAGAGACAATGATGAAGTTTCTGAAATAAAATCAAGGTATTACTTATTTTGCTGTAAAGTCTTGTTTGAATGCTGGGTTATAATGACAAAGTTATAAGAGGCCTTTAAGCTTTCTATGAAAACTTTTTATAAATCAATGTTTAATGTTCAATCAAAGTTTTTAAGGAGGGCTGAAAGGGACAAAATAAAATCATTACCACAAAATAATAAATTTTTAAATAAAACGTCCCGCTAAGTACTGAAATTTACAATTAATTCATTACATTATATAAATAAATATGCAATCAATTAAAAAAAAGAACATTATTTCACTCTGCATATATTTAGTTCACGGTTTCCATGCAGCAGGTTCATCATAAAAAAATTGAAAACTGAACTTGAGCCTCTAAACTTGGTGTGATTATATGCATTTTTTTTATATTGATATTAATATGTTTTCATTATTTAAAGTTATAATTCCTTCTTTTCTGATGGGACATTACCTTTTGTTATTCCACATTTTCAATTTAATTGTTTGTCTAATTTATGCATTTATTGATTAGATCCATTTATTTTGCTTAATATGATATTCCACATAATATTATATGCTATTATGCAACAGTAAAGATTTTTTATATATTGATATAGTTATCTATTTTATTCTGTCCCATTGAAGCCTCCATAATTGTGTTTACTATGAACACGACTTATGTAATAGTAAAAAAATATTTATTTATATATATATATATATATATATATATATATATATATATATATATATATATATATATATATATATATATTTGACAAGATATATTTACCAGTGATGCTTCAGATTTTATTCTTGTTTTTTAATTAAATTTTTTATTTCTTTAACTATTAAAATAAGGGAAAGAAAATAAAAACAAGTACATCTTAAAGACATATATTTGTAGCTCTAATCATTCTATGTTGTTTTTTTATAAGTTCTATAATAACCAGTCAACCCCAGCTTCCCCCCTGCTTTCTCTTTTTATTTTATTCATCTTTTTAAGTATGTCTCCCTCTCTCTCTCATGTGTTTTAGTGCTGACACTCACCCTCCCTCTTGCTCTTCATCTCTCCTGGTTAATTATCTGTTGGCATCCACTCGCTGCTAATGAGACCGCTAAACTGTCCAGACAGGCCTGGGGCTGCCCTGTCACTCTGTGTGCTTTCAGGGAGTCGAGGGCTGCAGTGTGAGTGTGTGTTCATAATTACAGACATAATTTATAGCCCCCTGCAGGTGTGTGTGTGTGGATTCAGATGTCTACAAACACAGAGATTCTCGTCTATTGTCCCAATGCCAGTCTGCTAATTTAAAGTGTATGTTGTTTGAGTGATGTCACACATCATGTCATCACATCAAGCTTCCTCACTGCTGTTTTTGCCTCCAAGAATGATCGGATGGCGGGTTTTATGGTGTTGAGTCAAAAAGCCGCCACTCGGCGTGGGGTACCGCGTCTGTTTT